GTCTGCATAGAAACATTATTGTTGTTGTATAGAATTCGAATCTACATACAAACATTATTATTGTTGTATAGAATATGAGTCTACATACAAACACAGCTGCTGCTGTGTGAAACGTGAGTCTACATACAAACAATACTTTTGTTTATAGAATATGAATGACAAACATAGTTGCTGCTATATAAAATGTGTGTACACGTTAAACGTAGCTGCGCAAAATAAAACGAGTGTCAGTATACAAACATAGTTGCTGTTATATGAAACGCCAGCTGGTGTGCATACAGAGTTGCTGTTTGGAGAATACAAGATGCAAGACGTATGAGCATAGCTGTTATATAAAACACCAGTAGGTGCACACACAGAGTTGTTACTATGAGACTGCAAGATAGAAGACATATGGACAGGGCTGTTATTTTGAAACTCCAGCAGGTGCACATACAGAGCTGCTGTTACGAGAACTCAAGCAGCAAAACGTATAGACAGAGCTGTTATTTTGAAACACCAGCAGGTGTACATACAGAGTTTCTGTTACGAGAACTCAGGCAGCAAAACGTATAGACAGAGCTGTTATTTTGAAACACCAGCAGGTGTACATACACAGCTGCTGTTACGAGAACTCTAGCAGCAAAACGTATAGAGCTGTTAAATGGAACACCAGCTGGTGTTCATATAGAGTTTCTGTTATGAAAATGCAAGACGTATGGACAGAGCTGTTATAATCTAGGTCTAGGGCTAGGTTAGTCTGGTCTGGAGTGACCCACGAACGATCAAACAACGATCGGAATTTTTTTCAGTCATAAATTGGGCATACTGACCTATCTTACATTCGGATCTTCTTAGCCATAATCTTTCAGATTGCAAATGTTTTTTATCAATAAAGCATTGTATGCTAATATAACAATAAACAAACAATGAATTTCAAGAATAAAATAACATGAAAAATATATTTAAAACACACACACACACACACACACCAAAGCATGGATGATAATTGCATGCATTCAATTATACATACATAACACCACCAGACATAAAGTGACACATGTGATAGCGTACATGAGAATATCAGCAGACATCACGCACCCACTGCACAACGCTATCAATGATACAAAAGGGATGAGGCTCCTCCTGGATGGACAGGGCAGAAAATCTAACTGCAGCAAGTATGTGACCTAGACGAGATCAGTCACGGAAAGGAAAGGATGGATACAAAAGTAGACATGCATGACTTGTCTAAGGTTGTCATAACACTGGGGAGGTACTGCAGGAGTCAGATACCTGCCATCGTAAACGCCAAGATTAGGGCATTGATTGATCAGCATCCTCGTCTAGAAGACGTCGTCATTTACACAGATGGGTCAGTGAAACGCGGTCAGGATCGGCATGTGCAAACACAGCACAAAGGATGGGGGGCACAATAACAGAGGATAGCGGTGCTTACCAGACAACTACGTCAACCATGACAGAGGTGATACCTGCTGCTTCCAGAGCACTCGCATGAGTAGCAGAACAAGCGACCACACATGCGGTTATCGTTTCCAGCTCCCTGAACGTGCTTCAGAAAATCGAAGGTAGTATACGCCTCAGATGGTTGGAAAGCATTTGAAAATCTCACTTACCTTCAATCATTTGGATCTACACACCTGGGCATGCAGGAGTAAATAGTAATGAAAGAGCCGGCAAGTAATGCACCAATGCAAACGGGAAGAAGCGTGGACAGCGCTCATATAATCAACACTTTACAGACTAAGTTGCGAGATAATGTTGAATCTCTGATGCTAACACGATTGCGTGACAGTTGAGTTAAGCTTGATGAAGCACCTCTTTGCTGTCATCGAGATAAAGACAGGAGACGCTATAACCAACTTCTCATAGGAACAGTCAGCAGAGATACCCTGGAGTGGCTGCTGCATATTAGGACTGAGTACAAATGGGAATGCCCAATGTGCAACGACGTCGATTGTGATAACAAAAATAGGAATAACACACGCTTGCATAGTCTGGCCAAGCACGCCTATTATCTTCTTCTTCTTCTTTCGTTCGCCTGAAATAAGTTGTCTATATCAGCAATTTTGTCTCTCGTATAAATTTTACTGTTGTTGTTAATTTATTCAGTGGTCCATAGAGTTTACGTTCCACTGTTGTTCTTTCTGGCCAAATTCGGTGCAGTCCTGGAGTACATGCTCTGCTGTCTGGGGCACCTTTCCACATGTCTACATGGCTGATACGCCTATCTTGAATTTTGTGTACATGTGGTTACGTAATCGGTTGTGCCCTGTTCTTAGGCGGAGGATAATGACTTGTTCTGATCTGTCCATAATAAAATAGTCGTCTTGTGCTGGGGCTGGTGGTTTCCTGATTGATTTAATGATTCTTTTCTTTTGGTGGTATGTGACTGGTACATCCGGCTGCACTTTTTTGGCACCTTCTCCTGCCAGTTGATCAGCTTTCCCATTTCCAGGCACTCCACAATGTGATGGTTTCCACTGCATTACAACTCTTCGCTGAAGGCTGTGTCAGCAGTGTTTACAATTCTGGTAGTTTCCTAGACTGGAGTGCTTCAAGTACTGATTTATTATGACAGGCTTGTTTTGGGCAATAGGTCTATTCTTTTTCCCCTACACATGGTGTTTGAAACCCATCATCATCACGTGCCCTGTTGACTGGTGTAGGCGTTCACTTATCTCCACAGATCGCTATCCCGTGTTCTCTGGATCAGTTCCACCGATGATATCCCTTCATGCCACCGTCACAGTCCATCTGTCATCATCTCTCTTGGTCTGCCTCTCCCTTTTATGTCTTATGTAAGATAAATAATATAAAGAGGTACAGTTAACGTCGGGTGTCATGACGAACTGAATAACGTCATCGGCACCCTGACTTCCTGGTCGAAGATATGTCGGGAGCCATTGCGACCTTTCCTTGCTGGCGGTGGCTTTCTGAAATGGCACAGAATAATAAATAATAAAATGTCTTAGAAATGAAAACAAAATTTACAAACAAGCATGTATGCATTATAGGTTGAGTAAGTAGCCTGGTTGCGTTGTGCTCTAGAACACTTTAACTGCAAACCGATAAACAACGCGATAAAGTTTAGGACATGTGTTGGTGAAGGGCGATGAACTGTAAAAAAACGAATAGTATTTTCTTCAGATCTAATTTATTTAGTCTTCTTGGTGTTAAATCGGGGGCTTCTCGTCCATGCCAAGTGAGGCTTTCTGTGGAGGCAACCACTGTTATTCGTTAAGGGTAATTCGACTGTGTCCTTAGTAGTGCTTAATCCCTACCAGGACACATTTGGTGGAGCAGTTTTCTTAATCAGGCACACCTCTCGCACACTCGCTGATTTGTCGTCTCCAAGACACATTTGGTGGAGTAGTTCCCTTGATCGGGCACACCAATCGAACACACGCCGATTTATCGTCTTGGGTGCTGATAACATATATGATATGTTAACTTCGTTGTGTCTTCTTGTAAGAGCATAGCAATACACGGGAGACACTCATAAGTAACATCAATTCTATGAGTAATCAGGATAACGGAGAGGACGGGAGAGTCATGATCGCCAACGCCTGCTGTAGGTAGGTAAATAAAACACCCTTTTCACAGCAGTGGCATATCGTGCACATGATGCCACACTTTTGTTGTATAGACCTATTGGCGTTTGGTGAGCGATGTATCGACAATATGCCAATGCCTGGGTGAACCGTAGATTTGTGTTTCTTTTCAATTTTTTCTGATGAGGTGAAACGAATTAGTCGTGCCAGGTGAAAAAAAAATCACAGACTGAGACAGTCGTAAGTAAAGTATGTAGGTGACCCTTGTCCACGCCTTCAAGCGTATTGGGCATATAGGGCTAGACCTATATTTTATAAACTAATCGGCATTCGGTATGTGATGTGGTCAATATCACGCTGGACACACTTGTAAAATGTTCAAAACCTCGTGTTGGGACAACGATCAAGCGAATTAATTTGACGAAAACGTACTTTGGCACACGAAGCTGGCCTCCCAGTGTTTAATAGCGTGAAAGTAGAGAAATATACAAAAACATTGTCATGCAGTCTTTGCAGGGAAACGATCTCAGCACAACACAGGGAAAGATTTTTTTTTTTTTTTTTGTTTAGCTAGTTCTCCCATCGCAGTCACTTTTGTTACTTGCTTGTGACTGAAGTGTCGTGTCCACCATGCGTTTGTCTAAGAGCCAGTTGCTCTTCATTTATTTTTTGTGAATCGAAATACTTCAAGTGTTCTCTGGTCATGGACTTAACTCTTTGAGTCCCAAGGAGCGCATCATACGTTCATAGTTTCCTATTTAAAAGCCCAATGAACGCATGATGCGCCGATTTTACGTTTCTCTTGACTACCCCTTGGACCTGTGATGCTAAACCCGCTGGGACTCAAAGAGTTAATATAAGGCAAACATAGGACACGCCTAAACATATTACATATAGACAGCCTAGGATGGGAGCCGTCGTGGTGTAGCGGCCAGGAATGCCTGCTGGTGGTGGCGGTGGTGTTGTAGACGACAATGATGATGATGTTCAAGATTGCCTGTTTATAAACGTATACATAAAATAATGTTTGAAAGCTGTGGGGTCATAAGGTTAAACGGATCTTGGCGTCCAATTGTTAACCTCTATAAAAATAGATTCATTTATTAGCTTTTTAAATTACTTTACAATTTTTTTTTTTCTATTACCTACGGATTGCAGGACAGCCTTCTTCTGTTTTCGAACATCTATGGGACTCTGAGATTTCGAAGGATATTCCCGGGAAAGTCAAATAACATAGGGACGGGGCGGGGAGGATGGGGGGGGGGGGGGCTAGTTAGTGTTCATTACACGCCCCAACACCTCTATACTATTGGACTTTTCCGGGAATTTTCTACGAAATTTCAGAGTTCCCAAGATAGGGGGAAATATTTAAAGCATATTTTTTATTCTTAGAAAACAAAACAAAAAAATTTCAAACTAATGAATATACGAAGAAAATGGACTAACTTGTCAAAATCTATGGCATCCTGGATCGTCTCGGGTAGCGCTCTGTGAAGCGTCTCCGGCAGAAGCAAAGATAAGAATGCAGCGATTATGCTGACACCCCCAAAAACCAACATAGGCAGTCCTGAGGCAAAAGGTCCTCCAATGAGCATCCCCTAGTTAAAACACGTGAAAGATGTGAACCACAAACTTACAGTTGAGAATCTTCATAAAACCCATCGTTTTTTTTTCCTTGCTGAGAATTCTATGTTGTGAAACTTTGCAAAAGGTAACTTACAAGCAAAGGAAACTGACATATAATAGTTACGCACTTAATTATTTTGTTTTTGTTTTATATTGACATATAATTATTTATATATACGTACGTATGTACATACACACACATATACATATATATACACCACTTTACGTGAAATATAATTGTGAGTTATCTTCAATTTACAGAATGGCACACACTCTAAACTGTAAATAAATTAGATTTTACAAAAAACTGCAAATGACTATTGCCTATGACTATTGCCTTTGACTATTGACTATGACTATTGCATATGACTGTTAAACAGCACAAAAGCATGTACGTCGTTGTTGATAATAGTGTTGATCACATATTGTTATGTGAATCCCTATGAGATCACTGGTAACCATATCTGTGATCACTCAACATTCCACAGATCATAACTTACCATTTCAGTGACTACCACAGATTCACCAGATGACCATTTAGCATATATGTGATTATCACAAATTGAATAGATCAGCACTAATCCTCTAAGTGACTACCATTGATTTCACAGATAACCATTAACCACAAATGTGATTACAACAGATTCCATAGATCACAATTAACCAAATCATTGATTAGTACAGATCACCACTAACCACAAATGTGATCACAACTGATTTTATAAATCACAACTATCTGTTCCAACGATTACCCTAGATCCCTATGCACTATAAATGTGATTAGGGCAGATCATCATTAACCCTAAATGGGATTACCACATATTCCATAGGTCACCACTAACTATATCAGTGATTACCGCAGACTGAAGGCCTAACGTTATCTTAGCTTAACGTTAGGATCGACAGCATTACACTGGGGTTTTATCCCATATAGCTAGTTCTACTCTGCAGAAGAGCTGCTCGCTTTCCCGAGTGCCATACAATGCTAGAATTATGTATCTTCAGCGTCAAGATCTCTGCATTGATGAACCTAACGATGCAATCCGTGGAAAGAACTCACGGCTTTTAGGACGCCAGGCAAACGGCTAACCCCCTAACCGCGGAGACTTTCTACTTACCATACATTGCCCAGATCAATTGTAACCACATATGTGATCACCGCAAACAACTACTAACTATGTGTGTGGTTCTTACATATCATTACTAGCCATAGAATGTGATAGTCACAGATCTCTACTAACCATATCTGCGATTGTCATAGATCACTGTTGGCAATTTATGTGATTGTCATAGATCACTACTAGCTATAAATTTGATTGTCATGGATCACTACTAGCCATATATGTGATTGTCATGGATCACTACTAGCCATATATGTGATTGTCATGGATCACTACTAGCCATATATGTGATTGTCATGGATCACTACTAGCCATATATGTGATTGTCATGGATTACTAGCCATATATTTGATCACACTACTAGCCATATATGTGATTGTCATGGATCACTACTAGCCATATATGTGATTGTCATGGATCACTACTAGCCATATATGTGATTGTCATGGATCACTACTAGCCATATATGTGATTGTCATGGATCACTACTAGCCATATATTTGATTGTCATGGATCACTACTAGCCATATATTTGATTGTCATGGATCACTGCTAGCCATATATGTGATTGTCATGGATCACTACTAGCCATATATGTGAATGTCATGGATCACTACTAGCCATATATGTGATTGTCATGGATCACTACTAGCAATATATGTGACTGTCATGAATCACTGTTGGCAATTTATGTTGTTGTCATGGATCACTGCTAGCCATATATTTGATTGTGATAGATCACTGCTGGCAATTTATGTGATTGTCATGGATCACTACTAGCCATATATGTTATTCTCACAGATCACTACTAGCCATATATTTGATTGTCATAGATAACTGCTAATAATATATGTGATTGTCACAGATCACTACTAGCCATTATTGGGATAGTCGCAGATTTCAACTAACCATATGTGCGATTATCACACATCACAGCTAACCATATATGTGACTGTCATAGACCACCGCTAACCAAATACTTGATTGTCACAGATCACTGCTAACCATAAATGTGATTGTTGTCACACATCACTACCAACCATATATGTGATTGTCACAGATGACTACTAGCTATGTATGTGATTGTCACAGATCACTGTTAACCATATATGTGATTTTTTTATAGATCCCTGCTGATCATATATGCGATTGATAGGAATCACTACTGACCATATATGTGATTGTCACAGATCCCTACTGATCATATATGTGATTGTTACAAATCACTACGGACTATAGATGTGATCGTCCCAAATCACCACTGACCATAGCCTGGATTACCAAAGATAACTACTGATCATATACAGATTACTCTTCGAATGGGTGGAAAGCATTCAGAAGTCACAATGAACATCCGTGACCTGGATCTACACCTGGTAATGCATGAGCTAAAGGCAATAAACGTGCCGATCAGCTGGCAGGTTAAGCCCCAGTGTATACAGGAAGAAGCGTGGGCCTAGCTGATATCATTAATTAAGTATGGACTAGGCTGGCGGATAATGATCAATCCCTGACGCTAACTGGATTGCGCAACCTGGAAGTAAAGCTTGGTAAAGCTCGTCTATGCCGTTTTTGAGGTTAAAACAGGAAACACTGCAAGAAACTTCTAATGGGAACAATTAGTTCAGGTACCTGCCTACTGTATCGGAGGACTGAGCAGGCATGGGAATGCCCAATGTGTAGTTACGTCGACTGTGATAAAAACAAAACATAACCAGCCAGAAATGCAACAGACTCACCATGTCTGCGACATAAGGGGCCAACATGCCTCCGACGTTTTCCAGAATGGAGCAGCAACCGATGGCCAAGTTTCGGACAACTTGTAGGGAACAGCTCCGCAGACATGATGTAGATTATTGCGTAGCTTCCGGAAGCACAGAGCTTGCCGATCATTGCCAGAACAGTCCGCAGCCACTGGTGCTCCGCTGGGGGCAGAAACAATAAAGATCATGAATAGCTCATTTTCATTAATGGGGTCGTTTTTATCACAATATTTCAGAGGATTAGAGGATTACTTTTAGTTTGGGTTTTTTTTCGAGATATTTTCTATCTCATTTATTGGGATCTCTTTGTCTCTCTTTCTCTCTCCCCTCTCTCTCTCTCTCTCTCTCTCTCTCTCTCTCTCTCTCTCTCTCTCTCTCTCTCTCTCTCTCTCTCTCTCTCTCTCTCTTTCTCGTTGAATCTCTTATTTCTAATCTCGAAATATTTGTCTCTCGCTCTGTTTCCCTTTTTATATCTTTCCTTTTCTATGTCTAACTCTCTGATTCTCTCTCTCTCTCTCTCTCTCTCTCTCTCTCTCTCTCTCTCTCTCTCTCTCTCTCTCTCTCTCTCACTCTCTCTCTCTGTGTGTGTGTGTGCGTCTCTATCTCTAATCGTCTGTTTCTATCGGCTTTTTCGCTCTCCTTCTCTCTATCCCACTCCTTCTTTGCTTTTTTCTCTCCATGCAGGAGGGGGAGGCAAAGATGACCTCGGGTTTGTGGTTAACAATTGGCTGGGTGACTAAACGACAGCTAGGAGACTCACTGAGCGCGATGAGTCGTAGATGACCTTCGGCAATAATTTTCTGGTTGATGCTCTACCTGATGATCCAACTTCTACTTACGAGCCATCTTTTGTATAATCAGACATGAACTCAGATTATATATGCACAAATTTCAAGGCAGTTGACGTTTCTCCAGCGACGGCTGGTTGCAGTGCAACTTTACTACGCTCCCTCTCTCGATCTGGTTGATTTGATTTGATCTGATTCAAGGACCGACATCACATCATTCCCATAAGCGCTTCGTCCCCATCTTAGGCAGTCAGCGAAGAGTTCGGATACTTATGGAGCTAGTAGCATTCTGCTTAAACTTTCCTCTTGCCTTTCCTCTGAGCCTCGAGTATCTGCCAGAATCTCTCGTCACACCCCCCCCCCCCCCTTTTCCCCTTTTTTCTGCATCAATCTCACCAGACTGTGGTGATCCATCTGCTCCTCCGAACTGTACACGCTCTTCCACAAGGCACTAACCAAACCACGTCTGCCATATCATGCATCAGTATTCCACTAAGTTTTACAGAGCCAGCCAGTCTGTCCGGCTGTTTATTTCCTAACACACCGGCGTACCACGGTGAAAAAATCTATACACAAAACTCCTCACACGTGTCCTACGCAGCGAGGCATGCCACTCTGCATGAAGCATGCCTGTCCTGATCTTCCTTACCATGCTTTCTGTGTGTGTATCGTGTTCTCTAGCCAGCAAAAAGCTGCAGAGACCGCCTCCACCTCTATTCTTAAGCTGGATGTTGTGGTATCATATGCTAGGCTTTCCTGCGTCAATCGTCGACCATTAACTTTTGCTACGAAACCCCAAGCACTTCTTTTGCCTCTTGACACTGAACCGTCTGTGTAAAAGATCAAATCCTCTGAGTGAGCATTATCTTGAATAATTGCTGAATTTTCACCTCTGTGGCACCTGCTGGCCAGTCTTTGTAATCCCGGCTCAGAGTGATTATGACCCTACACAAGTTCTCAGTCTGGTTGCACACTATCAGAAACAGATATTCGTCCACATCTTGGTTTTATCCTTCCAGTTGTATCGCTGTCATTCACAATGTACTCATTACGTATGGCAGAGCAACAATACAGAAAGCTGGGACTGCAGTAGTCCCATTAGATACAGCAACACACAACACATAGGACTCCACGATAAAGGAGTTGGGCCAAAACGTTTTTTTACCATTCGATTATATCTACTGTCGTATGTCACCTGTCATTCATTGCCTGTTTTCTAGGATACCGTGAAGAGAGCATTTAGCTCAAAAATAATCCGCACTCACATGACAGAACGCCTGCACACAAACTTCGCAGACAATCACTAGCAGGCTCAGGTCCCTGTTACAACATTCAGTCACCAAAAGCATTTGACATCTTTTAGCCTCAGCATGACACTTACAACACTGGCAGAAATTCTTAGTCGCTGTTGCGTATTGGATTGATTCAACTATATGCCACACACACATTCATTTCTCTCAACTATACACGTCGCAAACATTCATTTCTCGCAACTATATTCCTCACATACATTCATTTCTCTCAACTATACACTTCACACACATTCATTTCTCGCAACTATATGTCTCACACACATTCATTTCTCGCAAACTCCGCAAGGCCCGTCCTAGCGCCATACTCGGAACTATCCTTAGTTCTCACACACTTCTAGTCATCCACTGGATTCCCCACATTTTGCTAGCATCACGTGTTTCACAGCATTTTGCCTTAATTTTGTGTGTGTGGGTACCAGGCATAGTCATCGGGAGTAAACGCGGCCGGCGTGACGCTGAGCACATCACCCACCAAGTACCGATCGGTCTAAAAGAAAGTGTGGCCTACCACTCTATGCCCAATAGTCTGAAGGCGTAGAAAAAGTTCCTCTTATGTTTATGCCGAACACTATCCTGATGAGACGCACTGTATCATTACGTCTAGCTCTTGCTCGCTTGCATTCAACATTTCCCGCCAGTTTTTATTGTTGCGAGTTTCAAGTCTGGTAATGAAATAGAAATATTTCACTTAATTTTTTTCTAACAAGATTCCTTTTATTTCAAGTCTTTCCAAAACCGGTTATTTTCCTCCTGGATAGCCTTAAAGAACTAGAACACAGAACTAAATAAGGCACAGAACAATGTGCTATAATTCGGAAATGAAGTATTTACCATTAGTGTCCAGGACCAAGGGAAAAATGACGGCCAGACATGAAATTCCACCAGTCAGCATGCATAAACAATGAAGCTTTCGACGTCCTGTCCGGTCCAGGAGGAAAAGACATAACGTGTATGCGACAATTTCTGCTAGTCCGCCGTACAAATAGTTCAGGTATGTGGATCCGGCCAAATTTTCTACGTTTAGGGTCAAACCATAGTACAAGAGATTGATCGCCAGCCTGGCAGAATAAACAGAGGTTAACTTTAAACATGATAATAAACATACATGTGAATTTTTTTTTTTTTTTTGCGGGGTCGGGGGTTTAGAAGAGAGCAAGATATGCTCAAATACAGAGCAATATTTAGAGATGAGCGAGACAGATGGCAAACAGACATACAAGCGGGCACCCAAGGAAGCAGAAAAATATTTTAACGGACAGACATACAGATAAACATGCATTTAGGTGTAGAAACAGACGGTCAGACATGCAAGCAGGTAAACAGTGAGATAGACAAACAAGCACACTAGTGGACAAGCGGCTGCTTTCATCACACTAGAAACAATAAGTATGCTGGTGTGTTAACAAATCCCAACGTCATGTCCTCGAAAACAGACATCCAAACTGAGAGTACACTGTGGCCCGTATGGGGCAATATTCATTTCCTCATGAGAGCCCACAGGACAACTAACTGGAATCATTTGAAAACATTATTGCAGAATATTTCCCTTGTGTGGGCTACAGGTGTGCTTGCACAGGGTTGCATGCGGCGGTCCCGGCCCGCCAGTTTGACAAGCCTGCTCTAATTTCATATCTCCATGGCAACGTGGTCAACCACTCGATGACGTCATGAGTTCGTTTCAAGGATGCGCCGTTCAGTTCACGCCTGCATATTTTTACGGAGATCCCTTGGGGTCGTCATTGGGGCTACAAAGTTCGTGTTTTGTGTGACTTTTTGGCACGGCGATTAGTCGTTCTGTCGAACAGAAAGGGAAAAAAATATCATACGAAAGAACCCTGGGTAATCATCTTTTAAGTGTTTATCTGCTTTAAACTCTGGAGGAAAATTCTGGTCCTTCTCTTTCAGGAGTTAAGTCTAGTTGCAGGACTTGAGTTTTGCGTGCACGTCTATTTGAAGATCTGGCCTAGTGTCTTTTCTCTAAAGCAGATGCATCCGACTTCGAAAGAATCTGGGAGAATAAAGTTGAACCACCGAACGTTATATATTCTTTTAACAGAACAGTTTAAGAAATAACCAATGCAACAGTAGGTAAACATGAAAGTCTGACAAAGACAGCAGGGACATAACTTCTAGAGCACTAACCAATTAAAAAAGATGATGAGCGTCCGCAGTAGAAGAACACGATTAGTGAACATACACCAGATTTTGGCCTGAGGTCCATCATCAGCTGTGTCGTCGTCGATGGCGCCAGCTGGAAGTTTAGTCTTGTTGGAGCGGCAGATCTTTTCTAGAATCTTCTCTGTTTCAGCGAACCGTTTCTTGTCCAACAGCCAACGCGGTGATTCTGGGATTAGCCTGATGGTAACAATATGCAATCCTTGTTATTTACATATGTTTGTTATCGTTCTAGGTAGCAAGGTGTTTGGTGCAATCCGAAGATTCACACTATTGACGACCGCTAATGAACATGAGCTCTGACGAGAGACACGACGTCACTTGCCGACGGAAGAATTGGACAGAAGACAGTTACAAGAGAAGTAGGAATGACGGAGGCTTGTATTGATGTGTTCCTGATGCCGCAGTTCGCGGGAGAGCAAAGCCTCAGAGCTCTCTGTTGGAGGAAAGGAATTATCCTACCGTCATTAAGTACAACGATCGTAACATATTCATTTCATGGATACACATTATATCTGTGGAGAACTGCTGAATAAACGTATTGATATTGCCTGTCAACGACGAGTTCTCAAATGTAGAAGTTTCAATAGTTGACCATGTTTGAGGCGTTTTTCTACCTGTCTTTGGTTTTGGCATTTGTTACCCCTAGAGTAATAAGTTACTTGGACTTAGTACGGCATGGACCTGGGACGACATTTCAACGGAATAAGCTACGCACAGAATATCGCCATACAATATGTACAGGTCCTACCCAAAAATAGGAAATGCCTGCCCGTGACTCATAGCCTCAGCCAATCAAGTCAACTTACATTCATGTTGGGCTGTCTGTTGTAACAGACACGACTCTGGCCCATAGAAAGTCTCCATCGTTAACAAAATAGACCGCCGATGCCTGAAGTGGTAAAGTACTAGGCTATGGCTGAGGTAAGCCAGACACAAACCCTAGGCGAAGTGGAACATCAACCCCTCCCCCTCCCCCCCTTCCCGGTTAGGTGCGGCCAATGATAGGCCCACGGGTGGGTAGACATGTCCCAATTCACACCCACAGAGCTCACCCTGGATAATGGAAGGCGGAGAAGGGAAACGCCCACGACCTCTGATTTCTGGTAGGCAGTACTGGAATTAACCTTAACCCCCCCCCCCCCCCCCCCTTTTCCCACCATCTCTTTCGAAGACAGACATTCGGCCTTATTGGCGTGGGCACCCAGAAATGGACATCAACACAATCTACGGGTAATGAGAATGCTTAGATTCCTACACAGTTGTGGGGCTGCTCCTGTGGACTACTGCCAGGCGAAAACAGCTCTGGATTCCGAGCCTCGAAGGGATTCACCCCCAAACTACTGACGGTAGCTCTATGCATCTGCCGACCAGGATTAAGCAGAGTAATGCGTCTGGCCGAAATAATATCAAAACACTAAAGATAATGCAGTGGAATAGGGGTCATGTTGAAAAAGCTCAAACTGCATAAATTCATCTACGAACAAAAGATGGGTAAAGTGGTTAGTGCACTTACCCTCCAAAACATTTGCCGATGTTCAGTATCAAGCTTGGTCAAGCTTTCGTTTTTCTACAAGAACCTAACCTCATATAAATGGTAAACATAACATTTTCGGAATTCTCTTCAACCAACAAGGCAAACATGCAAGTCGGGATCAAACACACAATAACTTTTCTCCCTAGTCGATACAGGACCACAATCTTCACCGCAACTCGTTGCAGAGCTTTCGTTATCCCGGAAACGTGAGTGTTTGTGCAGGGCCGTTAATGGAATTTCATTTCTTCTCGGGGGATACTTCAAATGCAACCAAATCATGACATCACTACACATACGGCATGTTTGGGGCTATTTCTGAGTTCTTTTTCTTTCTTGTTTAGCATTCGTGTATTCCATTATCAGAAAAAAACCAGCTTGATGCAAAGAAGGAACGAACTTAAGATAAAAGGTATAAGACAGAAGAGGAACCAACCCTGTCAAAAAAAAGTACCAAGACATAAGAAAAAAAAAATTATCTTTGTATACCATTGTGGATTCAAGCTGTAAGATTGACATAGCATAAGCAATTTTCATCAGAAGACACCTTTTTTTGTGTGTGTGTGCTTAGTTCGTCATGCGTCTTAGTACACTAGTTTCGGCAGCGAGGCGCTGTTGTCATTGGGTTTTGACAAGTTCTTTACCTGGCATGGAAATAACTAAAGCCTTCGATATTTATGTTGTCTAGTGTGTCATTCAATCTTTCTTATTCTTTATATATATATGCCCATTAATAAATAAATGTGTGTGTGTGTGTGTGTGTGTGTGTGTGTGTGCGCGCGCGCGTGCGTGCGTGCGTGAGTGGGTGGGTGGGTGGGTGGGTGGGTGTGTGTGCGTGTGCGCGTGCGCGTGTGCGTGTGCGTGTGCGTGTGTGTGTGTGTGTGTGTGTGTGTGTGTGTGTGTGTGTGTGAGAGAGAGAGAGAGAGAGAGAGAGAGAGAGAGAGAGTTTGGAGGCAACTGAGATGTGGTTCTTGGAGAGAATGATGCAAATACCTTGAAATGCCAGAATAACTAAAAAGGATTGCCTAGAAATGGCTAATGAAAGTAGAACATTATATACAACAATGAGATAGAGACAAAACAAAGGTGAGGGGGAAAAAGCACTGGAAAATATCGTCACAATTTTAAAGTTCGCTTGTAGAAGAATCAGCGGCAGACCAATGGCATTCGGGAATATCATCAGTGGAATTGATTGGGAACAAAGACCGAGATCTGTGGAGATGCATTAACGCCTACGGCAGATGCCAACGCGCTTGGTGATTATATTTGTGTTTATATATATATATAAATGTTTATTATCAACTTACCACCAGAGGGAGAAGAGTGGGACTGTGAGCAGACACAGGGTCAGCTGGATGTACCTCCACTCCCTAATGAAGTAAGCGATAGGAAGGGTCAGTAGAACACCAACAGCCCAGTAGAGCTCCACCACCACTCCGGTGAATGTCCGCTTGCTGGGGCCCACAAGTTCGATCCCTGAGTGCCAGAATAAATGAGCAAATCAAATAGTGTAGTACTTAACCACAATATAATCATTAGAGGTGCCTAATGGGGCTACTGCTGCTGCATCGGAGGACGGAGCAATCATGGAAATGTCCAATGCCCAATGACGTGGATTGTGATAACATTACTTACAACAGTGGTATATTCGTATAAAGTATACTGTAGTACTAACAACAGTGGTATATTCGTATAAAGTATACTGTAGTACTAACAACAGTGGTATATTCGTATAAAGTATACTGTAGTACTAACAACAGTGGTATATTCGTATAAAGTATACTGTAGTACTTACAACAGTGGTATATTCGTATAAAGTATACTGTAGTACTAACAACAGTGGTATATTCGTATAAATTATACTGTAGTACCTACAACAGTGGTATATTCGTATAAAGTATACTGTAGTACCTACAACAGTGGTATATTCGTATAAAGTATACTGTAGTACCTACAACAGTGGTATATTCGTATAAAGTATACTGTAGTACCTACAACAGTGGTATATTCGTATAAAGTATACTGTAGTACCTACAACAGTGGTATATTCGTATAAAGTATACTGTAGTACCTACAACAGTGGTATATTCGTATAAAGTATACTGTAGTACCTACAACAGTGGGTATATTCGTATAAAGTATACTGTAGTACTTACAACAGTGGTATATTCGTATAAAGTATACTGTAGTACCTACAACAGTGGTATATTCGTATAAAGTATACTGTAGTACCTACAACAGTGGTATATTCGTATAAAGTATACTGTAGTACTTACAACAGTGGTATATTCGTATAAAGTATACTGTAGTACTTACAACAGTGGTATATTCGTATAAAGTATACTGTAGTACCTACAACAGTGGTATATTCGTATAAAGTATACTGTAGTACCTACAACAGTGGTATATTCGTATAAAGTATACTGTAGTACTTACAACAGCTAACACCTTTTATCAAGAATACTGCAGTACATCAGTAGGTTCTATATACATCACACTCTAGTATTGGCAAGAGTTGCACATTTGTCATCATCATAAACCCACTTCTGCCGTTAAGCGGCGTGGGGAGGAATAATGTGCGATCCAGTGCACGTTGGCTGCTACTGGCTGTTGTCATGTCGTGAAGGCATAGTGTCTTTAATGTTGTCGATCCATATTTCCAAGGCCGTCCTCTAGTTTTTGTAGCTGATCTTCTGAGACTTAATGCTTGTGATGCTATTTGATCTTGCTGCATTCCAACGAGATAGCCAAACAACTTGATCTGCTGTTTTTTTTTTTTTTTTTTTTAATGAATTTAGCATAAGGTTTATTGATAGAATCATTATTCAATCGATCTCGGATGGTTACGTTGGCGGCTTTTCTCAGGCACCTTATCTCGCAGTTGGTGATTTTGCATATCTGGGCTTTAGATAGTGTCCATGTTTGGCACTGGTAGCTTAATGTTGGAATGACACATGTGCATTCATCCTTATTACAGAATTCTTCAATATGTCTACCTACCTAAATACCCACGCACACATACACACCTACCAACATCATCTTCCCAACGCTCGTCTGTCTGTATGTCTCCGTCTGTAAGTCTGCATATCTTTCTAGCTACTACTCTTTATGTGTACGTCTGTGTGTCTATATTTTTGTCTGCATCTATAAAATCTATAATCTTTTTGTCTATACGTAGTCTGCTTCACTTTTTTTTTTTTGGGGGGGGGGGGGTATATCAAATCAAAATGAAGTGATTTTTCTGTTGTTTTGCAGTCTGCAAGATCCTCGCCGATGCCACGGAACTACGTGCATTGTGCTGAGATCCTCGTGTGTAAACGTCAAGTAGCTAGTGTTAAATCATGCTTGGTAATGGCGGATAACCCCAAACGAAAGAAAGCAAGCTGACGCCTTAGCGGCAACTGTAGCCGTAGAAAAGGCCCCTAGAATGGCTGACAACTCAAAAATTCACCAATGCATGCTTCCTTAGTGCGCATGCCGCAGAACATCAAGGCGTGGCATATACTGAAACAGTGGCTCCATCTAATTCAACACGCAGCGTTTTGCAAGATCACCTTCATTTTTTATCTAGGTCACTTTGGGTGAAAGGCAATGAGAGAGCAGACGCCTCGCCTGACAGTGCGACTGTCAGGAATGAGCCAGCTATGGATAGGAAAGGCGTCATCAATGCCATGAGAGAGATTAAACGCTCTGAAGCTTTCAGATTCGTGGAAAATGATTTTTCACTGAATAGACTGCATACCCTGGGTGTACTAGTTGGAGCAGGGAGACAGGAAAACCACACAGGAGACACCCGTCGTTACATCAACCAGGACAGAATGGAAGTTGTTAGCCTAAAAACACTTGGAGACAAACTCAGGAGGAGATCGGAGCACTTATGGTCATGTCCGATGTGCGAGAAGATGTTGTTTAACTGAACAGTGAACAATGAAGGGAAATCACATATCTGCTGGGTCAAATGAATCTCTGACACGTGAGTGGTCACCGGAAATAACGAAATCATTAAAACGATAATACATCTCACCCATTGATGCGCTGATGGCAAACAAGCTGTAGGAAGCAATCCCAGCCACCGCTCGGAACGCCACCATGAACTGGTATGATGAAGATAAAAACACCGCCAGTGACGTCACAAACTGGATCATCAGAGGACAGCATAATCCCGTTCTTTCGACCTATGCTGGCAATACATTGGGGAGAAAAAAAACTGTATTTACTATTTATGGATAGAAATTGTAAGATGTTGCAGTTTACCATTCTAACTGTGTTTAATTGTTTACTGATTTACTGATTGTTTTTTTATTGTGTCAAATTCAAAGGATTATTTGAGTTGAGTTGAGTTCACTCACAAACTGACATCACAGCACTCGTGAAATTCCGACATTCCCATAAACGCACTATTTATCTTCAGCAGACAGCGAAACATTTCCAAATCTAGGGGTGCAGGTGACAAAGTGAATAGATTTCGTATTGCCTTTTCTCTGAGTGTTGATTGTCGGCCAGGGTTATTCTGCAAAGAATATTGATCAGTCTGTACTCACTACCCCGTGTGATTAGAACCCCATACACGTCTGATGTATGCTCTGACGCTTTGACACACGCCTCTCATATTCCAGTGTTTTTTTCAAGCATACACACATACCTTTAACTGTGTCTTCTGGCTGAGCCATCGTTAAAGATCGATCATTATTTAAACTTATTTTACAAAGCGAACGAGCGATTATAGGCTCAACTCACAAGTCGGCGACCAGGCCCATAGAGATGCAGCCAAACAGAGCTCCAGCGAACATGATCATGTTGCCATGCGACTTGTAGATCTTGTCTCCGCAGACAATGTTGAACTGTAAGACAAAAGCAGGAAACATGTCTCGGTTAATGAGAAGCACAGACTAGCACCTGGGTAGCAGAGAGAAACCGTCAGTAGGAGAGCATAATGTAGACACATAACAATTGTGTTAATCAATGTCAACAGTGAGGACTGTCGTCACAGCCCTCCGGACAGCGCTATAACTTTCCACAGCTCCCCCTCAGCAGCTCAAGTTTGTTCCCTTAGTAAAATGTTTCATTTCTGGCTGCCCCAGGTCGCTTTCTCATATCCGCGAATCTGGACAGCTATACTTGGTCCCGCCAGTCGCTTTCTCATATCCGCGAATCTGGACAGCTATACTTGGTCCCGCCAGTCGCTTTCTCATATCCGCGAATCTGGACAGCTATACTTGGTCCCGCCAGTCGCTTTCTCATATCCGCGAATCTGGACAGCTATACTTGGTCCCGCCAGTCGCTTTCTCATATCCGCGAATCTGGACAGCTATACTTGGTCCCGCCAGTCGCTTTCTCATATCCGCGAATCTGGACAGCTATACTTGGTCCCGCCAGTCGCTTTCTCATATCCGCGAATCTGGACAGCTATACTTGGTCCCGCCAGTCGCTTTCTCATATCCGCGAATCTGGACAGCTATACTTGGTCCCGCCAGTCGCTTTCTCATATCCGCGAATCTGGACAGCTATACTTGGTCCCGCCAGTCGCTTTCTCATATCCGCGAATCTGGACAGCTATACTTGGTCCCGCCAGTCGCTTTCTCATATCCGCGAATCTGGACAGCTATACTTGGTCCCGCCAGTCGCTTTCTCATATCCGCGAATCTGGACAGCTATACTTGGTCCCGCCAGTCGCTTTCTCATATCCGCGAATCTGGACAGCTATACTTGGTCCCGCCAGTCGCTTTCTCATATCCGCGAATCTGGACAGCTATACTTGGTCCCGCCAGTCGCTTTCTCATATCCGCGAATCTGGACAGCTATACTTGGTCCCGCCAGTCGCTTTATCATATCCGCGAATCTGGACAGCTATACTTGTCCCGCCAGTCGCTTTCTCATATCCGCGAATCTGGACAGCTATACTTGGTCCCGCCAGTCGCTTTCTCATATCCGCGAATCTGGACAGCTATACTTGGTCCCGCCAGTCGCTTTCTCATATCCGCGAATCTGGACAGCTATACTTGGTCCCGCCAGTCGCTTTCTCATATCCGCGAATCTGGACAGCTATACTTGGTCCCGCCAGTCGCTTTCTCATATCCGCGAATCTGGACAGCTATACTTGGTCCCGCCAGTCGCTTTCCTCATATCCGCGAATCTGGACAGCTATACTTGGTCCCCGCCAGTCGCTTTCTCATATCCGCGAATCTGGACAGCTATACTTGGTCCCGCCAGTCGCTTTTCTCATATCCGCGAATCTGGACAGCTATACTTGGTCCCGCCAGTCGCTTTCTCATATCCGCGAATCTGGACAGCTATACTTGGTCCCGCCCAGTCGCTTTTCATATCCGCGAATCTGGACAGCTATACTTGGTCCCGCCAGTCGCTTTCTCATATCCGCGAATCTGGACAGCTATACTTGGTCCCGCCAGTCGCTTTCTCATATCCGCGAATCTGGACAGCTATACTTGGTCCCGCCAGTCGCTTTCTCATATCCGCGAATCTGGACAGCTATACTTGGTCCCGCCAGTCGCTTTCTCATATCCGCGAATCTGGACAGCTATACTTGGTCCCGCCAGTCGCTTTCTCATATCCGCGAATCTGGACAGCTATACTTGGTCCCGCCAGTCGCTTTCTCATATCCGCGAATCTGGACAGCTATACTTGGTCCCGCCAGTCGCTTTCTCATATCCGCGAATCTGGACAGCTATACTTGGTCCCGCCAGTCGCTTTCTCATATCCGCGAATCTGGACAGCTATACTTGGTCCCGCCAGTCGCTTTCTCATATCCGCGAATCTGGACAGCTATACTTGGTCCCGCCAGTCGCTTTCTCATATCCGCGAATCTGGACAGCTATACTTGGTCCCGCCAGTCGCTTTCTCATATCCGCGAATCTGGACAGCTATACTTGGTCCCGCCAGTCGCTTTCTCATATCCGCGAATCTGGACAGCTATACTTGGTCCCGCCAGTCGCCTTTGTCTTCGGGCAAAGAATGATTGTGAATAAATATATCAGTAGACGTTTGTTTTGCATTTAAACAAAAGGAGTGTATTCTAGCAACAACATAGTGAAACGACAGTTTCGTAGAATTCCACAGTTGTATAGATCTCGAATTAAGTGAAACTGGATTCACTATTGACATCACAGCTCTTATGCCTGTCTTGTCTTTCCTCTGAGTATTGATCGTAGGCCAAATCCGCGTTGCACAGTTTTGTTAAGACCGTGATGATCCCTATTCGTGCTTCCGCGCTGTTCACCATCTCCCTGAGAAATCTGTAGTCGTAGAATATTTGTTACTGCCCTTACCTGTTAGGACAACGGTTAGTGTTCAATGTCCAGAGGTTGAATAACTGATGCTTACAGGTAGGGCCCTGAAGCGGGCCTGGCCTTGTGACAATTGGTGCCATTATGTTCTAGCAATTTCTAGCAAAGGACCAGGAGAAAGGGAACTAACTGACTGTCTAACTTCATACACTGTAGCCAAGAATCTACAAACGCCTTACACTTCCCACCCCAACATTAATGTGTACTATGGGGTTAACTTGACTTTATTGCAGCGTTTGTAATTAAGACTTAAATGGTGAGAACATTTTTATAAATTTTAACTATGAAATGTACGAATAAATAACTGTATGCAAGGAGTGGACTGGACGGGCAGAATGTTGGGCCTGCGTGCCCAATTCTTAACCTGTTCTTTGAAAATAGTTTGTTTGTTCGTTCGTTAACTAGGTTAACTCTTTCAGACCTCGGGTTTATCATCTGCTCCTCGTTGTATCTTAATCATGAAAACCTTCGAAGAAACATAAGCAAAAAAAATGCTACAGTTATAATTACAATGTTCGACAATGTATCGACTGGATGAACCAGAAGAACTAGAGACAATCATATCGTAATATAATATGAAAAAAAAACGTATGCTGGGTTGTTTGGTAGGCAATGAGTTCAGGCTTAACGGTTGCTAAAGATAACTGGAGATTAATTTGTTAAAATAATATTTATAAAATTTTTATAAAACTATTTCTTATCGGTCAAATCAAGTGCTTGCTGTATCTTTAAAATATCTACCCAGATTTGTTAGTATGCAGAGACCAAAGATACAAGACATGATAATATGAAATGTGTCAACACTGGCGGACAATCACTGAACACGTAAGCTGCATTACTTTGGAAAGAAGGAAGTAAAAACAGTCAGGCAGAGTACATATATGTGTGTGTGTGTGTGTGTGTGTGTGTGTGTATGTGTGTGCATCTATATATATACACTTATAAGCACACATACATTTCCCTATAAGCATTCGCGCATGTGTGTGAGAGAGAGACAGAGAGAGAGAGAGAGAGAGAGAGAGAGAAGAGAGAAAGAAGGAGAGAGAAACGAGAGTGAAAGTGAGAGAGAGAGAAAGAGAGAAGAGAGAAAGAAGAAGAGAGAGAAACGAGAGTGAAAGTGAAAGAGAGAGAGAGAGAGACAGAGCGAAAGGAGGGAGGGAGAAATAGAGTCAAAATATTTCGTGCATTGTAACATGTTTCAGTATCACAGACAAGAGAGGTGTAGTTATTTCTCAATACTTTTTTACATAACCGTATTTCACTGTTGTCTCCGGGTCCCTCAGAGATGCCTCCTGGTAGAATGACAGGCCCATTTGTTAACCTCTACCGGAATCACGTGATCCATTTCCCATGGGTCTTCATCCCAGTCGAGGTGTTGAGATGATGGACGACGGCAGTGTCATAATGTCAACATACAAGAAGGAGTACACCAGAGAATAGAAGAGGTTTTAATACAGAACTACAATTTATCTCTCTTCTTCTGGCTGTCCTAAAGTCATTATAGAACCCCGGGTGAAAACATATCTGCGGGTACTGTCTGCACAATCACACGTTGATATCATCATCAGTCAACAGGTTCTTCACAGAACGTCGCTCTCGTCAGGGCCCGCCTGAATGTACCGTTTGATTGAGCCAGTTCTCGAGTCCTGCGTTTTTTCATAGCCAGTGACTCTGTAATGTCTTGTATCCACCTTCGCGGCTTGTATCTTGTTTCCCGGAAACTACACACTTTAAAGTCTTTTTTAACTTTATTTCAAAATCTCCCGCTTTTTTCTTCAGTGATTGCGAAAAAGAAACATGATCTCAAAATTCTTGCTTTAACTCGTAGGAATGAACATGGACAGTGTCGATATAGTACAGTCATAAATTATTACTTCCAACAAAATCAGTGTTTTGACATGAAAGTCACACACATTGGTGATTCATACCATTTGTCTGTAATAGAAGAGGACAGACCCGACAAAACTTGTATTCGCCCAACATTCTAAGGCATGAGTGGAAACAATACAAAGGTCGTAATCTTCTTCACAGTTTTCTTCACGTTCACCGTCTTTAAACTCCACAGGAAACTTTGCTTGTTCGTCCCTTTCTGGACTTTGGTCTTGTTTCAGAATTTAAGTTTTATGTGCACATCCGTTTTATAGGTTTGGCTTAATTGCATGAAACTGCTGGTTTCTTGCTCTCAGACATATGCACTCCGACTTTAAGGAAACACTACTAATTAGTCACCTTATATGACATGCTTGGTAAGCGGGGAAAGAGGGTGGGTCCACACGGAAAAGTCGTAATCTACCTCTCCAACTAGTATTCGCATCTGCATCGAAATAAGAGCAGGCCGAAGTACACACGGTGAATGGAGCTAGAGAATGAAATTTTAAAAAAATATTTGGAGAGCTGTATGCTATGATAAAAAGATAGCAAGACGTGGCGTGAGCTGGCTGAGGGTCTATGCTCCACTGGGGGATAAGAGGCAGAAAAAGAAGAGGATGGGGAAACATGGGGATCACTGCCTATGGCAACATGGAGTACGACTAGTAAGATCTACTCGCGTTTAAAATTGTTCTACGATAAGAGAGTGATATCAGTACCATTTATGCAGTCAAATGTATTTCACATCTTTCTTCTGAGACGCTGTATATATGTGCGAGGTTGTGTTGTCGTGAGTCTCTCTGGAGCACCGCAGGTGCCCATGTACAAGTTAGAAATACTGCAAGGGGAAGTGTCGCAGGCGGAACGGTTCGTGAGTATGAAAACTAGGATGTTTTTGTATTTCTACGTTCGTTGGTGACGCAACACCCTCCCCCCCCCCCCCCCCCCCCTTTTTTTCCAGAAAAAGAAGTCTATGACAAGGAACGTCGGAATAGAAAAACAACGGAGTTTCCATACGCCCAAACCGTCGCTCAAGTAGCAGAACGTTAAAAATATCACGCAAGTAAGCTGTTGACAACAGGAGATAAGAGAGAACGGTTCCAAAAAAAAAAAGTAATTTATAAAATAATTAAAATGTGATCTAATTTGTTGTTTACGAGAACTCACCTCTGACACAGCCGTGTCCACAAATTCTGTTTGGTCATAGACCCAGCTAGAGCAAGGTTGAAGTTCACGTTCCGGTGTCAATGTCGTATTCAGCCAGCTGTCACCGTCGTTAGGATGTAATATCCGAGAACTGTTAAGGTCGGAGTACACGTGGCACTCGGAGTAAGTAGGCTCAGATTCCTGGTCTAACATCGGGATGGTCAACTCTATCAACAGAGCATGGTAGTTGCTCTCTATCTCGTATGTGTCGTTCTCATAGCCTGGAATCTGGCATCTGGTAGACAGAGGAAGAAGAATGCTACAGTTCTATAAAGTGTTGTTATATGCAAAAGTGGCATGAACAAAAAACAGACTTTTTTTTTTTTTGCTACAGTTATGTCAATAATTTCTAGTTAATTGAATAGTTAGTATGGTGCCTTCAGTCACCTTGTTATTAAAAGAAGTATTGATCGCCTTACTGAAAGTTGTTTACGTTGGTATCGTAAGCCCGATTGAGTGACGTCAAGTCACGTTACCACATAGCTGGCATGCCCTATTAACTTCAGTGGGCTATGCTCAACCCTCTTAGGACTTGCCTGGTAGGGTGCAGGGTTGATGTTCTTTACTTCCAGTGAGGGCCCCGGTAACACACGGGAGAGGGGTAGTCAGAGCGGTGACTAAACATGTGGCAGCAGTGGAGAGAAAATTAAAGTAGAGGCCAAAAAAATACATTTTTTTTTTTCACGAACCTTGACGAAGCCAGGCAATAATTATAGTATATGTATACAGTGACAATTGTGAAGCTAAATTCTGCTTGGAACTTTACGGCCACATCTGTAATAGAGACTTGGCTAATATGTATGCAGATACTGCTAAATAACGACACTGTAAGTTCACTGATGAACGTGAACCAAGGTGCGGTACGATGCGTGAGAAGGAACCGGGAGAGGAAAGGGGGGGGGGGGGGAATAGTGAACTGTGTGTTATCAGAGTTGACTGCACGAAGTCCACGGGGAGTTGACGACGTTGGAGAGGAAGGACGCGCCGACAGAGTCCCTGAGAACTGATTATTACGTGCGCAGGAGTAGTGGAGATGTGGTTTCATCGTAGAATCTTTAGATTTCATTGGACATCTAAGAAGAGCAACTCAGATGTTCTGAAAGAAGCAAATGTTCAAAGACAGCTTATCACAAACATCAGAAAGAGACAGTCATCATTTGTTGGTCATGTTATTAGAAAGGGGAACATTGAACATGTTGTGACCACTGGAAAGATATGTGTATAGAGAGACGGAGGAAGACAGCTTGAGAAGATTCTTGACAGTCCTTTGTCATGGCATGGAAGCGTGTCAGCATTCAAACTGATGCACGCAGTTGCGGATCGCAGTTTGTTGAGAGGCATGATAACGTTACAAGGGAGGTAACTACGAAAGACGGTGTTTGTGAAAATTAATATCTCTAAGGGACGTAAGCTATAACTCCAGCGAATAACTTTTAGTGGTTGTGGCGTTAATTTGATTTTTTTTTTTTTTTAACAGAAATGATAAACTTGATATTGCAGCCAGAATGGCATCGGCAAATTTAACCTTTCTTCTGGCCACCATTTTGGAAAGTAATTGGTTGACTCAAAATATATTGACAGACTGACACAGGGATTTCCTGTTTCATTATATCTGCTTCTTCTTCTTTTCTCATCTCCCGGAATGCCTCACGCCGTCAGGGTAGGAAGATCTGTGGAACGTGCCTTTCCGCGCGCTTCGTAAAAACTACATGTCAGTGTCTCTGATATTTCTGCGGTCCGTTTTCTGCGTGGGTTTGTTACCATTGTATCCGAATTGCATTTCTCTCTGTAGTGCACTGTCTGTTGACAATCTTGTTACATGGCCAAACAGTCTGATTTGTTGCCTACCCATAAATTTCACGGCTATCCTCCCAATACCGGCCACAAAAAATGGCGGCCAAAAACAGAGCCTCAGTCACGTGTCAATTGCGCACTTCCGACAACCTAATTTGCGGTTTTCCGATGACTACCGCCACCGTAATTCCGTGGATTGGGGCTCAGGAGTAAAGCTGCAGGAGATGCGGAAGCTGCTGCTCGTGTCCCAGCCATCTAGTTTAGCCTCAATTCACGCGGCGTGAGAGATACTCTCGGCGGTGGCGGTAGTCACCGGAAAACCGCAAATTAGGTCGCCGGAAGTGCGAAATTGTCACGTGACTGAGGCTCTGTTAGGGTGTTTTTTGACGACCGCCATCTTTTGTGCCCGTTATTCGGAGGATAGCCAAGTTCATTATTGGTTCTGAACCGACTCTCTTCCTGATACATTCGTTCCTAAGTCTGCTTTCCTCATAATTCCTAGCATAGTACAGTCCTAATATTGCTGTTTTGCGTTCTCTTATTTCTTCTAGGATGTCTTCTACTTTGTTCTCAACTCCACATATGCTGAAGGTGTAAATTTTTTTGAGTTTCTTAGGTACTGTCCCTTTGATTCAAGTCAGTTTGTGAGATCTCTTTATTGTCTGGGCCCACTAAGTAAGCCACTCTGTGTTTGCTAGACCAGTCACAGTGTTCTAAAACCTCCTAGAAGGTCACACTTGAACTAGACTATCATATTCTGACTAGTTTAACACAACTTCAACTCTAGGAACTGACAGAGACAGGCAGACAGATAATATAGTCATATTTTATTGTAGCCAGGCAGGCTAGCAGGTAAATAGACCGATGTGTTTGGAGTTTAGTAGTTAGCTATGTAGACGGAAATGCATTAAGGTAGGCAGGTTTTCATAGAGGTAATCATGCAGATAAACTCCATGTGACCTACTGGTATTGTAGAAGAAGGAAAAACGAATAGACAAACTGACATGAACTCGTAAATAAGATCGGAAAGTAGGTCAACAGGTGATGTCTCCTCGTACAGGTGAGAAAGTCAAGTGTAACAGTTTATGTTAGACAACATAGACATTGTGTTTCACACCTGTGCAAGGGCGTTGCCATGGTGAAGACGATGCTCATGAATTGGGCCCCACACAGAAGCGCCGGCAGACACAGCAGGAAATAGATTCGCTTCTGGTAGGGACCGAATTCCCCGACATGCACGAGAATCTCGTCGAACTTCATGTTGGCTAAACATACGTCACTTCCTGTTATACAAAAACACAAAATAGTGTGTTATTAGAGGTAATCAATTAGGTGGCGTCTCCGTGATTATGGTCAAACAAGCTATGTCTCTTACCTTGGTGTACACATCTTTGTCCTCCCCCGTGTATCGTTGACTACTTTCAGCTATATTGCCCTCGGCCTTCCCATTCTGTCTCAGTGTTAGTCTTAGTCGAGGTTTTAACTTCACTGCTATCGGGTTTTCCCATACTTGCATATACTCTAATGTGGCCACAATAATTGTCTCTTTGTTACTTCTTTCAGTATTTTTTTTTTTCACTCGCAGTCCATCCAGAACCTGTATATATGTTTGTGTTTTTAAGTAGACGAAATAAATAAAAAGAGTAACACATGAACTGATTTCATTATAACTTTAATCCTTATAATGAACAAGAAAATTATAAATTAGCTATCGAAAAAAAAAGGCTAACAATGCACTATCACTAATGTAAAGTTTTGGGAGAGAACTAAGCAACTTCCAGTCAACAGGTGCAGACAATATACTGTTGTTTGATGGGACAGAAGTTGAGAAAACATGAGAGCAATATAACTAGAATGTCTTTGCACTGGAACCCAAATGGGCATAGACATAAAGGGAGATCAAAAACACAAGGAGAAGAGAGCTAGAGAGTGCCGTTTGAAAAATGGGAAGGACATGTGGACAGCGAAGGATAGAACGACTTGGCGTGAATTGGTTGAGGGCCTATGTTCCACTCGGGGTTAGAAAGACAGAAGAAGAAGAAGAAGAAGAAGAAGAATGCACTGTCACATGCGGGAAGACGCATGGACGGTTCTGATACGAGCAATGTTAAACTGTTCAGTCTGCTGAATAATGACGAGTCTCTGGTGCTAACCCACCTAAGTGGCCTGCGAATTAAGTGCGGTTAAGTACGACTATATCAGAGTGATGCAAGCTGTTTTTAGAACCTTATTCTTCACTTTCTTATTAACTGCTTCGTATCTCGAGGGAGATTTGAGGTTTCGCTTCTTGCTCTTCTGACAGCCTCGACCACAGACGCATCGTACTGTTGTTGAATATCTCTAATGTTTTTTTCCCATCTTTTTCTTGGTCTCCTTCTTGCTTTGCGCACCTTTTTTTTTTTTTTTTCGTATGCCCTGTACATTATGGTGTCGATGCGTTCTCTCTTGTTGTTGTTGTTGTTATTGATCCAGCGACGCATGAGCTTTCGCCCTTTGGCCCAATGCCATGTAGTGGAATTTGCATGTTTTCACAAGCTGTTCTTTTCCTCCGTACAAGGTGTTCCACTTGTCTGGTCTCGGAGGGAGTAGCGTTCTTCATGTCTCACTGAGTTTCGGGCACTCAAAGAGATGGTGTTCAACAGTTTCGTAGGGGTAGTTACATAGCTGGCACTCTGGGGAGTGTTGTGGCTGTATTCTGTTTAGGTGTCCATTGAGTGGAGTATGTTGCGTTCTAAGTCTGAAGATGGTGGCCTGGTCCCTTCTTGTTAGATGGTTAATGCTGTCATTAGGATCAGGGCCAGACATATGTCTATAAACCTCTCTTCCAGTGTCTCCCATGGCCCATCTGTTCAACCAAGTCTCTTTGTTTATAGCTCTTATCAGCGTTTTTGCTGTCTGGGGCGTTCTCTCTAAACGGCTAAAGCATTTCATTTGATGCCTAAACTTCCTGTTATGGCATTGCACACCATGCCCTTAGCGTTGTCTGGCAGTTGATCTGGGAGGAAAGCTCCTAAAGGCGGACAGACTGACCACTGTTGTTGTGATCCAGAAGAGTAGACTGCATGCTTGGTTCGAAACGTATTAATCGCATCTTTCCTTTGGAGTAAACAAGGCAGTCCGAGTGAGAGATCATGATGCATGGTCAACATAGTTCACAATACTCTCCAGGTTTTGTTCTGTGGTGAGGATGAACTCTTTTCTTAACGTGATAGGGTCTTGCAAGACACACTAGCCATTGACACGGCCAGTGATTCCCAAACCACCCATAGCACTATCGTTTTCAAAAAAGGAAAGATACCAGTTATAATAAAAATTAAAATAATTATTGAAATTTAGTATTGGTTCTGTGTCGGCCTATCTCTCGCGATTTTATGGATGCTGTTACGTCTTCTGGTCCGTCTATAACCTTTCTCATAAATCTAATTTTCCTTGTTATAGCCCAGTCGACCTATATGTTTTGCCTCGGACTTTGTAAATATGAAAAAGAATAGTACAAAAAGGCGTGAATCCTGCGGAAAAGACACTGGGCTTAACCAAACCACCAGTAAACGTAGATCATCAGAAACACATTGGCGTAATAATACATTGGACAGGGAGATAGCAGGAGAACGAGGGATTTTCAAGTTGGCAGTTATGGGAGTGACTTTAGGCTAGGGACATTAACTAGACAATGAGGATGGCGGTGGTGATAGAGTAGGCAGTAGCAGTGGGGGGAGTGGGGGTAGTGGTTTTGGTTAGTTGGGTAATCGAAAGATTATTCTCACTTTACATCGTGCAAGTCCATAAACGCTCGGATCCCATCGTCAGTGTGTGGTGATTGTAAACATCAGCTGTGTTTTACTATTCTTCTTTGACTAACAGAATAGTGTAAATGTCTCCCGACAACTTTCTTGACCAGAAGTTTTTGTAGTCTTTTGAATGTTGCCGACTTACCGCCACCTCCTGAACCATCTACTCGTTCTGTCTTCTTGAGATCACTGATAATGTCGATCCGAGTCATTGATTTTCCTGTATCTACCGTGGTCCTGCCAGCAAGCAAATCCGCTCGTTCATTCTCTCTTACCACAAGATGTCATGACACAAAAATGAAACATTCCTTCAGACAAGATTTCCTCAGCAACTCCAACCATTTTTGTAGAATCCAACCATCGATCTACTCAAGCTTGCTCATGGAATCATTTATAAATTATGTGTCTCTAATTATATTGATGATTATTAATAAGGTTACCTGTTGCGCTCCCATACAACCGCAGATTTTCAGTTCAACACATGTGTTCAACATCCAACACATGAACAGTCACGACCGAATATGAACACAGATAATAAACGAAACAGATAAATCATGCCTGTCTACAATTTCCTATCACAATTTGATGTCAAGTACGCTGTTCTCCCGTCATATTTCACGAGCTTGGCAAGCGCAGGGTCCCATACGTTGCCTGGTCATGCTCGAGATGTATCCAGTAACTATGTTATCTACTATCTAATCATCAAATCAGGTGTGGATAACCACTCATGAAGTAGTTTACTTTGTTCCCTGTTTGTTATGTGTAGGTACAAGGACCGTTTTCTCGCCAGTCGCCCATCGGGAATATTATGCAAGAGTCAGAGTCAGACCTCGAAGGGTGATGTGGTCAACATCACGCTCGCTGCTTTCATTTCCAGGGACATGGATCAGTCAGTCGGCGGCAATAACAGCCACCATACAAGCGAAGCATGCGATTCTGTGGGAGTGATGACGTCCAGGGACATGGATCAGTCAGTCGGCGGCAATAACAGCCACCAGACAAGCGAAGCATGCAATTCTGTGGGAGTGATGACGTCCAGGGACATGGATCAGTCAGTCGGCGGCAATAACAGCCACCAGACAAGCGAAGCATGCAATTCTGTGGGAGTGAGGACGTCCAGGGACATGATCGGTTGGTCGACAGCCGTAACAGCACCAGACAAGCGAAGCATGCAATTCTGTGGGAGTGAGGACGTCCAGGAACATCGATCGGTTGGTCGACAACCACCAGACAAGTGAAGCATGGATGCATATAATCTGCTCTGTTATTTGGCATAACCAGTGACTGGGTGATGAAAACATGTTGTTATGGAAACACCAGCATTGACTAGGTGGAGAACACACAGTTGAAAGATCCCGCTTTTACTGATGATATTGTACTGCTAAGTTAAAAACAACAATGATGTGGAAAAAAACAACCAGATGGTTGAGCACATATAGCATCAAAGCTTGCAATACAAATAAGTTATGAAAAGACAAAACATACTGAAGACACCAAAGACAGGACAAGCAGATGTAACACTAGGGACAAAAGTTATTAAAGTAACAGATCAATTTACTTTTTTTTTAGGTAGCAATTTTGATAGTGAAGGGAACACAAAGAAAGAAATTATGACATGCATTGGAAATGCATTAGCAGCTTTTAATAGCCTCAACAACAACAAAATATAGTTTTAAAACCAAGTTACGCGTTTTTAATTCAATTTTTATTTCCGTTTCAACATATGCCAGTGAAAGTTGGAGAATCACTAAAGATCTGGTACCAAAGTTAGATACATTCGAAAACAAATGTCTGAGGAAAATTATTAAAATAAACTGGGTTGAATTCAAAATGCAGTGAAGAAATAAAAGAACTGGGCAACCACTAGTGTATCAACAGTTATTAGACAGAGACAATGGTGGTCAATTGAACATATGCTGAGAAGAAGTCAGCAGAGAATCACCAATCAGGCGTTGTAGTAAGAAATGAAAGGATTAAGGAGGACAGGACGCCCAAAAGAAACCCTAAAATGCACACTGATGAGAAAGGCCAAGGGTGATGGACTAGATTTCTGTCCACGATCGCACAGGATAGAACAGAATGAGGGAATAGACTGCGAGCACTATGTCACATATGAGGGCCCAACGGGACAATGCATGGCCTAGACAGGGTGGTTAGTTAGAAGAAGAATGGTTTGTCGCCTGCCTACCTGGCTGAATGTAATTACTTCAAATTAGCAAGAAGGCGTTTAAAAAAAAACATTCACTCGGCTTCCATGTCAGTTAAATCTAAAATTGTTGTCAGGAAATTCCTTGGAAGTTAAGACAGTTGGTAAGATATTGACCAACAAATCAAGTGTTGAGACTAGTCTATAGACTACAGGCCTAACGTAAAAGGTAAGGTAAAGTCAGGAGAAGTGAACTAGCATCATTGCACAGCGTTATTAACTATAAGTGCTCTGCCACCATGAAGGACAGGAATGGTGTGATGTCG